AGCTACTATCGGCAGCTTCTCTGACCCACGTGCCTGTTTATCAGAAGTGATCCTCAATCCCGCAGAATTCCAGGTAGCGCACGAGAAGTCGGATTCATCTAGCAAAATGGTCCCCTCTCAAAACGTTTTGAGTAATTTGAACAATACGAAGACATCCACCTTTGAGGACACAGAGCTCTTAGCCGTCGGCTCGTTTGGAACAGCTGATGTGCCATTGGGCTCCAGTGTCCATGAAGAAGACCCACCTGCCGCGCATTTCGTTGAGTCCGTGGTAGAGTGTGCTGGGTTGTGTACGGGGTCAGTTAAAGATCCCAATCAGTGGATGGTCGTACAAAAACAGTTGGATGATCATCCTGGAGCCCCCACTCAAACTCGCAAAAGTGAAAGCCGACTTATCGCAGTTTCTTCTCAAGAAGACGGCTTGTGTCGGTTTTACGGACAGGAGATTAATGCAGGACCAAGTGGATTACACTGTGTCAGTCTTCAGGAAGAGCTACCCGAACCGCATAGGGTGGAAAATGTGCTTGCAGAAAGAATCGCCAATGATGTCATTGATGGAAGTGCACGCTTGCCCAAGTNCGTGCATCACACCGGTATCTTTCCATCTATTGAACAGCAATGCGGGGATTCCTCTACCCCATATGCTCCCAAGTCTGCCGGTATTAACCAACGGTCCGAATCGGGAACTGTAAGATCTTGTCAAGGTGGAGATGATTACGCCGACGGATCGGGGGGACTGCAAAAGCACGCTAAAGCGACGACACAGCAATCTACACGTTGGGACGATGGGGACTCTGTGGAACATCTCTCGACACCACAAACTTGACCCCTGTTCTGGTTGAGCAGGTGAGTGTACAATGTCTTTTTATCCAGCTCAGTATGTTGTGCTCGATAAAAGGGTGTCTACTTCTTTGTGAGTTTTTTGGGACACTGGAAACCACTGCTAATTCTCACACTGAAACGGAAGGTTAATAGACGTTGCGTTTTCAACCGTGTTCAAGAAATCACAGTTAGCGTGAAGAGTTCACTGTTTGTGTTCCATTTTTTGTTCTGATGAATTGTCCCTAGACGTGTGCGCCCTGTTTTGGTCAGCGTATCTCTGAGTTTACACGTTGTAACACTGAGAGGGTAAATTAAGCAATCTCCTAATTCTAGAAATGCGTAAGCTGTGGTGAAATTAAGCATTGAAACGGTCAGATGTTGATGCCGT